CAAATGCATGATTATAAGAACAAATCATGCCACAGTCCTAATTAAATCAAAGGAGCCTGGCTTACGTAAGCACTTTAATAGTACAGGCAGAATTAATTCATTTTGCATCACTCTTACTCTGGGCTGGTTGTTCCTAGACTGTAAAATAAGCATTTTTTTTACTGAGTAATTTAAAAAAATCAATACAATATTCGCTTGTGTCAGGACTCAGCAGGATAAACTGAAACATGGAGAGGCTGCTCCAAGTACAAATGGCTACAAATAAAACTTAGGGTAACATGATTATTGTGTATTACATTGTTTCCATAATACTTATCACATCATTTTTTAAAGATTAGTTGATGCCTAGACCTTTCCAGGAGCCTGAAACTGGGGGCCCTAGATAAATTATAATTTTATCTCCTACAAAAAGGTACAATGACTTTAAAATTGCATAGCTTAAAAATTAAAGACTTTTGTATATTTTAAACATTGAAGATATTTAGCAGTTTATTAATAATCAAAATGGTTAACAATAAAGTATACTTTTCTCCATTGTTCTGTTAGACTGTTGGGGTTTTTTTTGTTGTTTTTTTGGGTGGGCGGGTTGGTGTCTTATCTTGACAATACAAATAAACTGAACAGTTTATTTTGCAGGGGGGGTCAGTTTCAATCTATGGTCTTCAGGCACCAGCTGGAGTTTGCAAAGTTTTGGATGCAAACATAGAAGGGAATATTTGCATTGAAAGAAAAATATATACATTGCATAGCTATGTCTGTTATTAGAGCTTCTGTAAAATCATGGGTTGCTTTTCCTTGAATAAACCTAATTTAAAGCTGCCCCTTTAAAACTTTTTAAAGGAACTTCCTATTACTCCAGTGCAGACCACTGTGAGCAGCCCTAGTTATTCTGAATCCTTGTCTTGTTAGGCCATGTTAAAAATAATTAGGTCTCATTTTTTAATATCCTTATTTGGATGCTAAGTCCCATTTACTGGGTAAAATGTTGTGGCCTATGTTGTACAGAAATAGAAGCAGGTAATGATAGTGATTTCTTCTGTCCACATCAGTGGAACTCTGATATTCAACATCTGCATGACAACAGTGCTTAGAACACAGGTTCTCAAGCTTTCCAGGCTAGCTGCCATCATTTCTGGTGTGACCTGACTTTATCATAGAATTTCTTCCAGGGTTCACTTGTAAGGGTTGCAGTCCTATTTGGGACTGTGACCCATAGTTTAGAAACTACCAGCCTATAAGTCAGGGGTGGGCAAAATGCGGCCTGCAGGCCAGATGCAGCCCACCAGGTTACGCTATCTGGCCTGCAGGGCCCCTAAAAAAATAGAAATTTTAATATTTATCTGCCTCTGGCTGCCTGTCATGCGGCCCTCAGTGGCTTCCCAAAACTCTGTAAGCAGCTCTCCATCCGAAATAATTGCCCACCCCTGCATAAGTCAGTGAGCTAAGGTTCTAGTATGGTAGGTTGTACACAAAAACATAGAAAGCCAAAGTCCGAGTCACAAAAAGTTTAAAATCTAAAAGGACTGCTGTGAACACTGTTGTCAACAATCATGCTGACCAGCGTGATGTTGAACTAACTTTATTCACCAGTCTAGACCAGGAAAACCTCTGGTCAGCTCCATGTTACTTTACGTGGTTGTTGGATGCCATGTTCAGAAACAGTAAGATTTCAAAACAGTTTAGACAAGGACGTTCATTGTTCTTGATACTTCAAGAAACCATTTGAACTGGTCTAGTTATTGCAAAGATACTCTAACCCAGCTGCAAAAGCTGCCAAAACAATTATTATGTTATCACTCTTGTCTTCCTAATTTTTTCTTCTTCCATATGTGATTAGATTGTTAAGATGGGTCCTGTCCATCCCTATGTTTCTGAAAAGGGAGAGAGCATTGATTCTCATTCTAGTTACCTCATGAAGGATGTTTGTTGTCCTCATCTGCACTCTGGTAGGAACAATAAAAGTTACTGAGATTTTTTTGGATTGTAGATGTACAGTAAAATGACAAAGGGATAAGCAGCCCTAAATGTAGCATGAGAAGGAACCCTCTGGTGCAGGCACCACAGCTGGAAGGCCTAAGTTCCCTTCTGAAGGATTCTTACAAGTCTTGGCAGAGTGTAAGCTGGAGGCAGATATGGCAGTGATTTGGGGTGGGGTCCTGGCACTTAACTGTGCAGAGATTTGGGGCATTGCTGGGGCTCATAGGAAAGCTGAGGGTAGCTATTGTAGGAGATGAGCCACTCAGTCTTTCAGAGTTATACCATCAGCTTCTTCAGCCTATGGAGCAGCTCAGGATCAGAAAGATGCAAAGGTGGTTTGGATCCACTCAGTTTCCATTCCCTGGGCTGCAGATCTCTTATAGTGGTTTAAAATTTTCCACCCAGGAGTAGAATCCACTTATTTTAGTTTTCTAAGAAGATCTCTATACAAACAGCAGCAACAACACTTGACAAGTTGATATTTTGGAAGGAAAAACACTTAAAACCTCAATAACTTTTTTCATTAATTCTTTTATGCATCATAAACCCTTTAAAAGATAGCTTATTTGAAACAGTAACTGCATGCTGCTGCATTAGTATCAGATGCAAAGGGGATCATTTAGCTGGCTCTTTGGCTAGAGCTTAAGTGCTTCAATTGGTACACAAATAGAGAAAGAGCACTACTGAGGACCAGTGAAAGAAGGAAATACAATACTTTCAACATATCTCTTCAAAGCACTCCTATTATAAAAGTACTAGAGTGTGACTTCTATTTTTAGTTAGTATCATATTGAGGGTCTAATAGTAATCTCCTCTCTTGGTCCGTTGATACCAAACATAATTAGTTTTAGATGCTTATCAAAAAAGTCTGGTAGTAAGTAATGATACAATCCCTGTTATTACAGCTGGCAGATCAACCTAGAGCATACAGACTAGCAGCTGTCACAGGAGAGGTCAATTATAATGTGGGTCAGTGAGAACAAACCAAGAAAACAAAAGCCAATGTAACTTGCATTTGCTTACTTACTGAGATAGGTCTTTGAAATTCCTGGATACTGTTTGTTTGATAGTTGTAAAGAAAACCTCAATTGATACTTTTTTAAGTATTTACTTTTCCTGTCCCCTTCACACAAATTCCTCAAGTGGAGCAGGTAAATAATAAGGAATAACCACCCATTTCTTGATGGTGGTTATTAATACAGAGATCCCTAGATGCAAGAGTATTACTGTCACAGTTCATTTTTGTTTGTTCAGTATAAAATCTGAGACTATGATAACAGAGGAGGAGAAGGCCAAACATACATTGTAAACAAGTGTCAGTTTTCAAGTTGTTTGTACCATACATAAAACACTTATGCATGCATATTAATAGTATGCAAATGTACATGAATGACTACATGTATACACTCTTCTAAAGAAAAATACTATCAACTTTAACAGAGAATTCTATTTTTCCCATAGAACTTTTTCAACTGATCCATGTAATTGTATACACTGAATATAATTTTCTTTTAAATTCTTCAATGTGGTGAAAAATGATCTAGAGAGGAAATTTTCTGAGGAATGCTATTTTAAGCATTGATTTAGGTAACCCTTGTAGAATCCTGATAGTTTAATATCTATAAGTCCTGTAGAATTTTTCAACGTGAACAAAATGTGCTGAAGTTGTATGTAATACAATGGGGAAACGTGACTTTGGGATTTGATTTTTTACTCATTTGAAAGTTCTACTCGTGAGGCTACTCCTCTTGAATATACTCAGTGAGATTTACCTAATTGAGTGGGTCTTAACTTATTTCAGAACTGATACACCAATTTAAATTTGCATGAATCATTTTGGGTGGATCACATATACAATGATATATTAAAGTCCCAAAAGAAATTAATTATTGTGAAGGGTGAATGTATTAATGTAGTATCCAGTTAACTTCAGCAAAGACTCTAACAAATCAGAGTAATTAATGAGAAGCAGCATGATATTTCACCAGAGATTAAAGAAGTCAGGTATAAATTTAAAATCAGAATTAAATGGAAAAAAATGGTAATATTTGAGGTAGGTAGGTATGCTGTGCCCAGGTAAGCAATAGCACATCTTTATGCATAAAGAAATCTGTTGGAACACTACATCTACATTTTTTTGTCTAACCATTTAATGTATTTTAGTTAAAATGTATCACTCTGTGTTAAGGAGGTTCTATAAAAGGCACGATTCTTTTGATTTAAAGCAGGCATGTCAAATGTATGGCCTGTGGGCCAGATCTAGACCATGGACCATCCCAAATCACTCATCTGATTCACGAGATTAGATGAGTCTAACAGCACTGATTTAAAGTGTAATCTGATAAGTGATTGAATGGTACTGCTGAATTTCATGATTATCTCTCAGTGACTTAACATATCAGTCTGTTTTGTTTACAAATGAAAAGGATGATTTTTCTGTCAAAGTTAAGGTGCATCTTTCTGAGTTTTCCAATAGTAATAAGGATTATGCGGGTCAAATCTTTTCCCATTACACTATCCCATAGCTATGTGGTTTCTGTTGTACTGACAGGAAGAGAAAACAGCAAAATAAATTTTAGTTGGTCTAATAAAAGATATTGGATTTACTCAAAGAACCTTGTCCACCAGTAAAGTAAGCACTTGTATTTCTAAATGCACAGAAAGAGAAGATTTGCTTGTTGGGAGACACTGTTTTTCAAAAGTCAGGATCTACGTGAGGATTTAAAGAACATGGTCCTGATTAAACTTCCCTTGGGTATATCAGAAGTAGTTATGTTAACACAGCCAATAGACTGGAACAGCAGCGTACCTAGACTCCTGGCAGCTCTGGGCAAACTTTCAGTATCGGGCCCCCCTTTTCCAAAGATAATGATAATAATAATTTAAAAGTTACCATTTTGGGGCCCCCTTTCTGTTTGGGCCCGAGTGGCCACCTGGTTCACCCACGCCTGTATCTGACCCTGGACTGGAATATGTGAAGTCTCATTCTTAGCAATAAGTGTCATCATTTTGTTTCCTATCAGGTGGAAATACTCGACTGGAAGACAAAAAAACAGCTGTGCTTTCTGGATAAGGTAAATGAAAACATACAGGTAAAATGGCAGGTGACTTTTTAGATTAGGTTAGTTTTCCTTAAGGAATTTTAGTGATTGTGAAATGGGTAAGGCAGTGGCAACATGTAGGGGGCTCACAGGGGTGCACATGCACCCCCTGAGAGCGCTGGTGCACCCCCTGGCTGACTTAGGCAGTGGGCAGGGAGGGCAGGCGGGAGTGCTGGTGTCCCCCCTGCAAGTGCTGGCTGGGGAGTGGGAGTGCCGGATGTAGCGCCGCGGCTGCTTCTGGGAGCGCTGCTGCTGTTTCCTGGTTGGTGAGTTTTGCCATGGGGGGGACCCCCCCCCCCCGGTTGCTGACTGGTCGCTGGGGTGGGGACATGTGCCCCCCGACTAAGGTGGCACCAGTCATCCATGTGGTAAGGAGGTGGAGTACCATTGTATCTGCACAAGCAAGCTCTCCTACATTGCCTTATAAAGTACCTCATGCCTATTCTAGGACCAGGAGACAAAACTTCCCTCTGAATACTCATTCATGCAATCCTCAGTCTCTCAGCTAAGGTCACTGAGTATTCCAGTGGGTAACAATTATATCTCAGTGACCCAAAAGCCATCGAACCATGATCACGCTTTCAAAATTTGCAATTACTGATAACATGGATGAATTTGAAACACAGTTTACATGTGAAAGGCTCCCCTTTTCCTTTTACAGGACAAATAGCTTGACCTATTTATGTTAATACCAAAATACTTTGGCAGTATTTCAGAAAGTTTGAGAGACAGTGACTTGAAAAATGTTCACTAGAGTATTCTTGTGCCTAATGGTCATACTTCAAAGCATGTCACTTACATGAATAATTTTTTATTGTTGCTTAGGTGGAACCACATGCTACAATTAGAGAGATCAGATTGATGTTCCATAAGTCATGTAAGTATTATATTTTTGAATGGATATATAGTGAGAGTAAGACCCACACAAAAGATCGTGCAGTGAATCATCACTTATCTCTTACTCATCTGCAGTAGTAGTTAGGAGGTGACTACACAGGCTATAGAAGATGGCTACAATAAGGGAAAAAATTATATTGAAATATTCAGTACATATTATTTAAAGGGAAATGATGTAGTTTAATAGAACATGCAATATATATATATACTCATTAATGCTAAGTAATCTGAACATAAACATTAACTTAGCTGAAACTTTATAATAATTGTTCTCTTTTTTTTTAAACTCCTATAATTTATGCAAAGATTTGCTATTGTCTGTATGATTTTCATAATAAACATAAATCATAAAAAATCTCCTGCTAAAGCTTTCTCTTCTTTTTGCCATAATTAAAACAGTAGGTAGTCCACAGGCAAAACTTATGGATTATTTTAGTATTTTCTCTTTTGTCTTGCAGATCCACAGTGGTATCCAGCAAGGCAGTCAATAAGACTTAAGCCTAGTAAGTATTAATCGAGTCTGGAGTAATAAAGATATGAACAGAGTACTTGCAGGGAGGGGTGCTCTATGGCCAAATTTTCTACAGCAGGTGGGCAGTCTACTAACTAGGTAGTAGGGTTGTGCGAAACTTTGATTCCTGATTCAATTTGGCAGAGATTCGGCCTGATTCGGTGGCCAAATCTCCGAATTTGAATCAAATCAGATTTGATCTCTCTGAACCAAATTGGAACCCTCCAAATTGGCAAGATTCAAAGAGGTTTGGACAGATTCGGAGATTTGGACATAGACACAGCTTTAAATGTTTTTTTCTACATACCTCTAGGTAGCAGGGACTTGAGTGCTGCGATGCTGGGGTACATGGGGTGTCCCAAAGAAGCGCAGGGGGCTCCCCAGTGCACTTGGCAGCAGATCCAGAAGTGGACCAGACACACTTCTGGTCCACTTCCGGGTCCTCCGGGGAGTGCACTGGGGGGCCCCCTGGCACGCCCTCCCAGCTCAGCAACTGGTGCCTCTTGGGTCTGTGGGGGGCACCCGGGGTTCCCCTGCAGCCAATCACTGAGCCGGGGGAGCATGAAGGGCCCCTCAGCACACTCCCCGGCAGACCTGGAATTGAACTGGAAGTACTTCCGGTCCACTTCTGGGTTCACTGCCAAGCACGTGGAGGGGCCCCCCGCAGTCCTATGGGATGCTCCATCCACCCCAGCATTGCAGCATTCACGAGCCATGCTGGTAGCTCGAGGTATATAGAAAAAACATTTAGAGCTGTGTCTATGTCCAAATTGCTGATTCTCTGAATCAGCATTGCATCTTCAGATTCAGATTCTGAATTGAATCAGAGACAGTGAATGGAATCGCTGTCCCTGATTCAGGCTGAATCTGAATCGAATAGGGATGTGCGAAGCAGTCCCTATTAGGTAGTACTGTGGGAAATGCATGGCACTGGCACTCACTATCTAATTAACTTGAGAGTTTACATTGTGTTTTAATGTATTTATTTTCAACTATTGAGCACTTTTACTTTGGAGACAAGCAGCATGGAATCTTATATTACCTTCACCTAACTGCAAAGAAATAGACCAAAGAGTGGGACTTAGTTTTCTAAGGGTTGTGCACTAGAGTTATCGGTTCACTTTAATTCTTTGTCTCAGGTGGGAAGTCACAGTTCTCTTGGTTGATAAGCCATTGCGAAATACATTAATGTGAATAGAGGAATTGCTGATACAGCTGATGCCAGTTGGCTGATTCAATTTGTTTAGTCCTAAGTATTCCTAATATAAAATACTTGTTGTATGGCCTTGGTGCATAAGAGAAAGTGTAATTGAAAAAAAATCTGTTAATTCTTCCTAATTGTTCAATTAAAAGCTTGTACTTACTTTTCTTTGTCTGTTTTAAGCATCAGAAATTTTATGCAGACCTTTAAAGTTATTAAAATAGTACAGGTTATCACATTATTTTGGGATTAGTTCATGGAAAACGCGTGATTTGACCAGCTGTTGTGTATATATTATCACGCCACGTCCAGGGACCCTTGCTGAAAACTTGTCAGAGGTGAGAGCTGGATCTCCTAGGATGCCCCTGAGTGCAGGAGCAGAAAGCCTGATTACCCACAGCCCAAAGCAGGCACGTGTCTCAAGTCAAACCTCTTATGTCGGAAGAAGTCAAGTAAACAACTAAACTAGGATTTAAGGAGGAGTGAACATATATATTGCCATGTAAAGAGAATCTACCCATCACTTCTCATTGCCACAGAAGAGCCAAAACACTGTGGAACTGCCAAGAATCACTAGACTGAAATGAGAGGCAACTAATTAAGTTATGCAGGGGTTTTGCATAATGTCATGCAAATGGGGTCTTTCTAGGACAGCATTTCCCAAACTGGGTGGATGTGCTCCCTGGAGGGATGCAAACGCTTTTGGGTGTAGGTCTAAGTGTATCACAGTGCAGTCAGTGACAACCCATTTCAGCTGCTACTGCCACTTTCCTCACTGCACATTCCCCTCACTTGTGGCAATTGGTAGCTATCAGTGACTGAGGGGAACACAGTGGTGGCATCTGCAGTGGTGAAAGTATCCAACCATAATACAGCAGGGTGTAAACTCATGAGTTTTGGGAAATATTAGTCTAGGGAGTTCTTGAATGATGCAAATTGACCCACCCAAAAGAACATGCAACGAATGAACCATTGCTCTTGGCTTTTATCCATACTCTGCCGTGGCAGCTGGGAGGTGACTAAGCAGACTATAGAAGTCGGGGCTTGGTATTCTTCATGGCGTAGATGTCACTGATGCTTTATGGAGTTTCCTTGTTGCTATTGTTCTGAATACAAGAGCAAGCAAGTTGAATAGAAACATTCTGAATTTATTTGTGGACACCTCAATAAGTGTGTGTGTCAGGCCAGAGGATCTGTCAGACTGATCCAAGTGGTGTGGAAGGTTTCTTTAGGGTTAAGGTGCTACAAAAATTTACTTTAATTTCACTGAAATGTGTTTAACTGCTTCTTTTTCTCAGAGGGAAAAGCCTTGAGGGATGAGGAAATTCTGCAGAACCTCCCAGTTGGCACAACTGCTACACTGTATTTTAAAGATTTAGGGCCTCAAATAGGATGGACTATGGTGAGAGATGCTTCAAATATGACCCATTTTAACTAATGTTTTTCCTTAGTTACTTCTTGCATCACTTTCTGTTTCCATTTATTTAGGATTTCCATTTGCTGTCTGGTCTGACAAGAGATGCAGACAGTAAATCCTCTTTTTCAGTACAGTTCATTTATTCAAAGAATCCAACAAAAGAATGTAATGCAAAACTTGCAGTTTGGCCCCTATGGAAAAACAACAGTGATTTCGTGCACATAGTAGACTGGCACTACAGAACTCAAAAGTATTTAGGCATCAAGCTCTCATTGTTTTCAGTAGAGTTAGGCATCTAACTGCCTGTGAGGATCTGGGCCTTAGTGATTATACAACTTTTGTTCTTTCCTCTCAGAAATCAGGTTTATTCTGGTGTCCTGGAGTTCAGTCTGCAAAAATGAGTAAGTTCCTTGACCCCCATAAAAATACTCAGGAGAATAAAATGACTCATCTGTTGTTTGCAGAGGACAGAACAGCAATGGCAGGGTGGTGAAAACTGGTTATATCAACAATATTAATAGCTGTCCAGGTCTTCTGACATCACATGTTCTACTGTCTTAACTCAAAGGAAAGTTCCATCATGGAAATATTATCGTGTAGCATTAAGCAGGTAGCCAGTGTCTCTGTGCCAGGCTTCCAGAACTTTTGCAATATGCATATTGTCTTTTAGCTCTAATTTAAACGTCACAGCATAAAGGGAAAGTTAATTAGCAATTTAAAGGCACATTTGTCATTGTTAACTACAGTCATTCATATAATGACAAAGAGAAAATTAATAAAAGTCATGACATCTAATTACTATTCAGCAGGTATAAATCCTCATAGTCTCAGTTTGGATCCTATGTTAGAAGGCCAAAACAACAATTGCAACACGAGCAGCTGAAAAGCAGAATTCATGTACACTGTAATACAACAGTATCAGCAAACATCATGAAAGTCAGAGAACTTCATAAGATTGAACTCCATTTAGACCAGGGGCCGGCAGTGTTTTTGGGCAGAGTCCCAATGATACCCACAACCTCGACTTGTAAGATGTTGGTGTGCCAGGGGTGGATGGCGGGGGAACCACAAGGGGCCCAATCTTTGCTGTGGCTGTACAACCCTGACCCCTTCCCTGCCATCTGCCTCGAGGCGCATGTGCCAAACAAAATGCCTTCACATACCATGCTCTGGCACCTGTGCTCTGGGGGTTGGCTACTTGATTTAGGCCACCATCATTCTGTCGCAATATTCAGATATAACTTAAGAAAAAATTTAGTTTCATCAAATGAAAAAGTAAAAATTTTTCCCATCTAGTCGGTTTATAAATTTGGTAGGAAAAGTGCTGATGCACTTATATCAGCTGATGATAACTCAATAGTTTTTTGGACAAGAGTGATTCTAACTGTATTAGAAGAAGAATAAACTTTGTGTGTGTGTTATTTTATTAATATAAATACAATAGGTTTACCTTATTTTTCCATAATCAGGATATGAACCTATTTTCCTCAGTTAGGAAATGACTATAATTAGCAATGTCTGACACACAGTAAACAGCAATTCAAAGTGATGCTCCTAAGAAATCTATATTTAAATTAAAATTCAATCATTTGAGACTACTTTCTTTTTTCCCAGAAGAGATTCTCCAAGAAAGGCTCTTCTTTTAACGTATGGTTTACTTGTAGCTTTCTAAGACAAGATGAGGGCTGGAGTTGTATCAATGTATATGCATCCACATTTGTCATGATTATATGTGGTGCCTTGTTAATTACACATACAAACTTTGTCATTTGTGTATGCAATCACTGTAATTATATACAATCACTGCAAATGCACGTGCATGCTATTCATACGTATTTTCAACAATCTCAACCTCTATTTTGAAATGATGTCGTGCCAAAAAAATATCCAACCTGACTCAATGGAAGACCTGAACATAGTATATTGCTAACCACAAAGAAACCAAAGCATAGTCACTGACCCACCCAGTCTTTTAATTATTTTCTTTCTGTTTTTGCAGGTATTTTTGATAGAATACGCAGGACCATTGTTCATCTATTTTCTGTTTTATTTCCGTATGCCTTTTGTCTATGGCCTGGATGAGAGATTTACATCAAGGCCACATCCAGTAGTTAAGTAAGTTCTTTCAAAGCCCTAGAGCAGTATTTCTGCTAACATGATAGTTTTTTCCAAATGTCTTGCCACAATTGTTTTTTTAGCATTCTTAAATGCTTTTGTCTTGCTGTTTCTAGCTTGGCATGTATCTGCCATTCTTTCCACTACATCAAAAGGTTGATTGAAACAGTATTTGTTCACCGGTTTTCCCATGGAACTATGCCACTGAGGAATATTGTTAAGGTAAATTGTTACAAAATCTAACCACAGTCCTCTTATAAATTTAATCCAGCCACCCTCTATTCTGCTTCCCTGGCACAACTTTTTTGGTGTGGCTTTGTGGTAATGTACAACTCTTACTCATAAGCCTGTAATTCTTTTAAAAGATTTATTACAATAACTTTCCCACTGCAAGCTATGTGCCACCACATCATTGCATCTCCTATTAGTTTTACTCTTTTGCTTCATTGTTTTTTCAAGATGGTAATACCTTTAGCATTCTTTCCCCTTTACAGGCAGCCAGTTCTTTTAGGCATGAATATTTCAGAAGCAATTTTATATTTTAAGGGGAGGTACAATCAAGCACATAGAGATTTTAACTTTTTTAATTTGCTTTTTATAATATCCTTTTATAACAGTTTCTTTCCTTTGCATTCTCATTTTCCATTAGGCGATTATTCATTTACCTTTGCTTCTCTAGCAAAAAGCAGCATGACTGTTCTGCCTTTCTTTCTTTTCTCAGATAAGCACAATCTAATATTAAACAGTGCTGCTGTGGGAATAGAGTCTCAGTTAACTTGCACTCTCCCTGTTTGCTGAGTGCCTGCACAGCAGTACAGTGTACTGCATAATTATGCATGGACTATGGATATTACAAAAAATTGGCAACCAAATTTTAAAACAATTTTATATTGTATTTACTCAAATATCACACACATCTTTTCCCCCTAAATTAGGTATCCAAAATTGGGGTGCAGGTTTTAAGCAAGGAAATTTGTTTCTGTGCCTGAATGGAGGCATAGGGATGCTGAAGGAACACGGGCAGAAGGAGCAGAGCCTGCTCTCTGGCCAAAATCTAGAGGCTTAACCCTGTCACAACTGCTGCCAAATTGGCCAAAAGCTGCTGCCAATTTGGCAGCGACTGTGACAGGGTTAAGCCTTGGCATCTGGCTGATCAGGAAAGGGTGGATGAATTATGCTGATGAGTAGATTCTGTTCCTGTTCCATGTTGCCAGATTCCAGCCATGACTCTGGAAAAATCTTTTTCTTCTTCATTCTGCCTTCACAAAATAAGGTGCATAGAGGGAGACCCCAAAATATTAGCCTCTCAAATCTAAAATAGGGCAAATCTTAACTCTGTAACATTCTTAAACAACACTGTGTAATATCCCCCAAATTCTCTCTCGTATCTACTAGGTGGTGTGTGAATTTACATTTAGCTCAGTATTTATTAATTTTTAATTATACATGGTCATAGTGCATGCTATAAAGGACACCTGAATACAGTCTTTCCTTTGTGAAGGAAATGTAAAGTTGGCTCCATAATATTTATTAGGTACATGGCAGATGCTTCTGACCTTTAAACCATTTTTCACAGTGCCATCTAGGGAGTTAAAATGGGGATTAAACAAGAATGGTAAGGTAAAGAATTAAAGGAGAGACAACAATGTACTGTAGTGAAAAGAGTAACTATCAGGTTGGAGGGAGATTTCTGGTGGAGTTCCTTAATAACTGGTTTTTGGACCTCTCTAATTTAATATCTTAATGACCCAGACACAAGGAAATAGAATGTGCTGATGAAATTTACACAAATTGGGAGGCATCATCAATACAGAGGAAAATTGGAATATCATGCAGGAAGAACTAGATGACGCTGAGGACAAGAGTAGTAAGAAATTAAATGAAATGCAATAGTACAGACTACAAGGTCATGCACTTGAGGATTCCTATTATAAATTAGGGACTCTTAGTTGGAAGTGACAGAGTGGTAGAAGGATTTGGGTACATCAGTCAACCACAGAATGATGTGAACCACTAATGTTATATATTCATAAACTATGCAAATGCACTCCTACAATGCATCAAGTGAGGTAGTTCCAATAGAAATAAAGGAACATCAGTGTTAATGTGCAAGGCAGCAGTGAGATCTTATCTGGAAAGCTGTGTACTATTTTGATCTCACAAATTCAAGAAAGATGAATTCAGACTGGAACAGGTACAAAGAAGGACTCCTGAGATGATCAGGGAAATTAGAATGAGGCTATCTTACATAGGAACTTAAAAGGAGCTTGGCTTGGTTAGCTTAGCAAATAAAGGGTGAAAGAACATATGAATGTACTCTATACATACTTCAAGGGATGTAAATACTAGAGAGGAAGAGCTATTTCATTTAAAAGACTGTGTAGACATGAGAAAAATTGGGTATAAACTGGCCGTGACTAAGCTGGTAATGAGGGCCACTGGCAGACTTGGGGGAAAAAACCCCAAAATAGTGCTTTACTTTCAGCTTAGCGCACCCCTGCACTTAGCGCAGTGCATGCTCAGAAGAGGAACCGCATCAGTTGGACTCAGCTTGCTCAGCGTCTGTATAGATCGTGCACTTCAGTGGGGCTTTTTGGGGCTTTTATCTAATAGCTGATTGAATCTTTGGGTCTTTTTCTTTCAGTGCAAGCCGCAGTTGTGTGGTAAATCATATCCTTTGACCAGTGCTTGTTCACTTTAATTACCACATAATTACAACTGTTTACATTTTAATGTTTAAGACACTTTGCCGATAACATTTTTTCTGCCCTAAAATCTGTTGGCAGATGATTTGGCCCCTGACATCACCAAGGGTTATGGCAAGATTTCCTTTTTGTAAGTTTCCATCCCAAGAGCACAAGCCCTTGAGGGCAAAGTCTGTAATTTTGCACAGTGCTAAGTGCATTTTGGACCATAGTGTAAGCTAGAGCTGTCCAACTGGCAACCTGTGGGGTGTGTGCAGCCCATGGGTTAAATAGTGGCCCCTGGGCTCCCACCCAGCTGTTGCTCTGCCAGTGTTCCAGATGCAGAAGCAGCCAGGGGCTCTAGGCTCCCTCTTCCTCTGGCTCCTCGTTCCGTGCCCCAGGTGGCAGGGAGATGTGGCTCAGCCTGCAGTGCTGAGGAGGAGCCCGTGGCCAGATAGCTGGAGGTGAAGTGGAGCACCCAGGTGCGTGAAGCAGTGGGGCAGGGAGTAGAGTTATGCAGTGTGCAGCCCTATACCCCATGGCTCCTGGTCACCTAGAAGTTGGACAGCCCTGCTGTAAGCTGGTTATTACTGAAGCTAGGCACTGAGGGTGAAGTTACATGTTACACTTTAACCATACTAGGGGCACTTAAAACTTGAACATCCATGTGAACTCATGCTAAGTGTCCTCCAAGCATCTGAAAAGTTATGCCACTTCAGGTGAGGGTTACTTCTGGGTTATGCTACCTAGGTTGAGTTAGGGTAACTTCAGTCCACAGAGACAGTCCTCCAGCATCCCAGGATGTACCACTCCCAGGGTAGCTCTGCCCCCACAGCAGGGATAGCCCAGGTATTGTGGCTTCTAGCCACATCCTGCTCACCAGCCCTCTAGTGGCAAGTCAGAGCTGTGCAGGCAAGAAACAGTATTAACCCTTAACATGCAGTTGTTCACAGCATGTTCTAACTTTAACACTGCTTAGCATTTTACAGATTGAGTATGGTCTAAGTGTAATGAGTAACTTCATCCTGACTGGGAGCCTCAACATAAGTCCTACTTCTTGTTCTGCTACAGAATTTATATGCATCTTTGGAGAAGTTATTTAATCTCTCTGTGCATTAGTTCCCCATTATCTGTAACTTAGTGATAATAACACTTTCTTTTCGCTACCATTTCTCTTGGTCCCTAAGTCTGAGGCAGTGACTGCCTCTAAATATATGTTTGTACAATACCTTGTAAAATAGTGCTTCAGTCTTGTTTGAGATCTCTGGGGACTTCCATTGTGCAAACGTTAATTATGGCAATAGGGAAAACTGAAATTCATCATAACACTTGATACAGGTCGAAAGGTGCACCCCTTCTTGTGGGGTATGGCATTGTATTACCCCTTACAGTCATTCCTGAAAGAACCACATTGTCAGACCGACTGGCTACAATCAGCAAATAGCTTTTCAGATGCTGAGCTTAGATACACCCTTTTTCTGGGCATTCCTGCTAAAAATGCTGTGTCAGTGCACGTCTATAGGTAATTGCTATCGTACTACTTGACTGTCTCTGTATATTTAAGCAAAGCCCAAGTATCAGAGCCTCCCTCCTCATGACAAATAGCTCTTCTGGGAGGATGTGGACTTACAGCTGGTCATGGTTTTGCCATTAAGCAATTGCTGTGAGTGCCAAGACTATCTCAGGTCAGGTGCAGGTTTTATTACTGTGCTCATGTATCTTTAACAGGAGACTTTTAGGCTTGGCAGACTGTGCTGCATTTGAAATGCACATTAACAAAATACAAATCCCTTCCCTCCCGCCATGCTGCCTGTGGTATTTGTATGGAACACTGATGGCAAATTTACATTCCTTTAAATTCAGCAAAAAATTCAACTTGCAATAGCAGAGGACCAGTACGTTTGCCAAAGCTCTTTAACAGAGTTATTTTAAAATTTGTTAGGAACCCTCTGAAGCCTTCAAACTGAAATCCATTTCTTTTCATCCTCCCACCTCAGCATGTACTCACCTACACAGCTATGTTATTGCTAGGATTTTCTTTGCATTTGTTTTGCAGGAAAACATTTTAAAATGAATGTGACTTTTGCAAACAATATAAGGACACCAAGATGAGGTTGAATGTTGAGCTTCAATATTCAACAGTGACCCTTTAAACAATCTGTAGGCTGGCCACTTTAAGATTAACTGCCCCACAGTGATAATACCTGGATATTTTTGCTTTTTTTCCCTTCTCATCTTCACTGTATTTTCCTTTCTCCATCTTCTAGTTCCTTATCTCAACCCTAGTCATTCACTCTGTGAGGAATGTATTTCTCAAGCGTTTCTTCTCTTATCTTTGCTCACCAGCCTCTGGTGCTTCGTAGCCGTTTGTGGGGGCAGTTCTGCTTATCTAAATCAACCACTCAGGGCAGTTTCCTGGCAGGGTGTCTCTGATGCCATCATATTTACCCTCTAATCCATGGAATGGTAGTAGCTAAAAATTTGAGTCACTAACCACTTGGGATGGCCTTAGCTTTACAAACTCATTGGCCTTGTCTACACCAGACACTGACTGCACAGTCATTGCTGTGCAGTTGTCCAGTACTTGTATAAACAAGTACTAAATGACTGCATAATAACCATGTTACTGCACAGTGTGCCAATAAACAGCTTTTTTGTGATGCTGACTACACAGTAGCCCAAGACTACTGTGCAGTAGCCTCATCGTCATGGTTTCTGCCACACGACTGTACTGTGCAGTAGTCTCGACTACTGTGTAGTCAGCATCTTGTGTAGACATGGCCATTGAGAATGGAGCAGTGTGGCCAGAGAGGAAAAGCAGAGCACAAAAATCAAGGTACTCTCTCTGTAAGAGTCAGTTAATTGAAAACAGCACTCTGACTGGTCATCCTAATGTAACCAGCCATTGGCTACTTAGAGTTATTGTTGAAATGGATAAATCTAATATTGAATCTGACCTTTCTTCCCGCTGGGTACAAGACATGTATCACCTTTACTGTTCAGTAAATTAACTTTGCTGTGTAGGAAAAATAAAGACGCATGGTGCACAGTCTTACTGCATAATAAATCACTCATTCAAGGTAAGATTACCCCATGAAAACTGTGTAATTTTACTACATGCGAAACTTACGCTTTAGACTATACCAGGTGTCTATTCCCCTAGCCGTTTTTGTGTCAGGATAGCTGTTTGTGTTTAGTGCAATCACATTCACTTGCCACCTAGTGGCCAGGATCTGTAACAAGAGTAACTGAAATTACTGCACAGTACAAGAGTGCATCTACACATACATGCCTGTACTGTGCAGTAAATATGGTGATTTACACTGACTTGAGCGTGATGCAGGTATTAAATTTATGCCCAATTAGTTACTGCACAGTAACACACATGTAGATGTCTTACTGCATGGTAACATTGTGTGTGTGGACTGATTTGGGACTAACTTTAGTCCCAAGTCAGTCCACACACAGCATTAATGCGCTGTAACACCTGCACATGTAGACACTGGCCTATTCCAGTTTACTGTTCATTAAATTTAAGCCAGCATAAAAGCATGTGTAGACATGCCCACAGAGTAAAATCTGAAGTGATTACTCTGTTTCAGGGTTGCTCAACTTCTGAGCAGCTGGGGGCCAGCATGGAGTGGGCCATGTGATGTGCCCCCTGCCCCCATGCAGTGGGAGTGTCCTTGCCATGAAAACCCTCTGCTGTACCATGTGGGTGTCCCTACTGTACCATGTCACACAGTGGGACAGGGGCAGGTGCAGGCAGTGGAAGAGGGAGGGAGAGGGCCCCCAGCAACTGCAGTGGCAGCACCAGGAGAGCAATGGGGGAAGCAGTAGGACCAGAAGCCCTTAGGTCTTTGAGTTAACCCCTTGGCCCACAAGCCACCAGTACAGTCCTGCTGTATTGTATTTGTGTCGTGTGTCCAGACCCTTAGATGGCTTGCAAAATACACATTGCTTATATTTGGATATAAAAGGATTTAAGTGTCTCACCACCCATTCTCTTCCAACTCTGTTTATGGATGCTTAGATTAAATCTGCATCTGCTTTAGACTGATAGGCTAGATTTTCAGGATGGTGGCATACAGCTCTAAATCCTATTAAATATCATAAACAGCCGAGTTGCTAATTACACCTCAGAGTACAGGAAGGGGGAACCCACCTGCTGTCCCCAGCTGAGCCCAGCACCTCACACAGCTATTCCCCACAGCCACTGGCTGGAGCAGGGCATGGGCAGCCTTGAGGCTCCCTGCACACTGGTCAACTGGGGACAGTGGCAGCAGCAGGCAGGTCTCTCCTTCCTGAGTTCAAAGGTATAATTAGCAGGGTTTGCACCCTGGGCCAAGCCTGCTGGAGAGAAGGAATGGGAGTGAAGGAAAGGCATACTGGAGGGGTGGGGATGCTGAGAGTGGGAGTGGGGTCTGCTGCCCCCAGCTCCCAGGCCTGAGCCCCCAGGTGTATGTGGCAGGGGGGCCCCAAGCAGCTACCTGTGGGCTGGAACTCTGCCAGCCTTCATGGGAAAAGCCACATTTCCCACATTTTTCTCCTTTAAAAGAGAATCCATCTTTAAAGTTTGTTCACAGCCCTTTCATATATTCTTGCAACCCATGTGTTGAGAAATACTGCCTTAGGGGATCCAGGTGTATAGAGGACACCAATAGAGGACAACATTACAAGAAGCAAGGAGAGGTCTTTAAAAGCAGCCAAGAAGTACAGGTCCTAAAACTCAGCCAAGAACAGATCATTAGAAATGTTAGTGAAGACATTTTCAGTGGAGTTTGGAAGCTAGATTTGGGGAAGGTCAAGAATGGAATGGAAAGAAAGGAGCTCCAGCAAATGGGTGCAGACAGCCTGGTCACAGTGGTAAGAGAGACATGGGACAATAGTCTGAGTGAGATGTAGTAAAGGCAATGATGGTTATTTAAGATGGGGAACATTAAAGCATGTTTGCATATGGAGGGCAAGGATGAGGAGAAGAGCAAGGGGAGGTGGGAGGACAAGGAAAGAGGTGGGAATAGTTCTTAATGTAAAATTCATAATGGATGTTAATTTTGTATTTGGCAGTCCAAATCCTCTCCTCCCTTAGCACATGGCCTTTATGCTACCTCACCTCTGAACTGTGTGCCCTGACATTAAATTACTAGACCAAAAAAAAATATCTTCAGCTTTTGGGCCATGTTTTCAAAAACAGTTTCTGAGCCAAGCAGTCTGTGTGCTGTAACAAGTGATATTTCACTCTAAGAGCAGCACTCCTTTCCTGTCATTTGCTCTGACTTTACTATGCTTGGTCTGTCATGTTTTATTGTGTTATCAGAAACTTGCAAGATCAGCCCTAGTGACTGTTATCACTAACGCTTACAGAAATAACTAGGCTAGAGGCTTGAATTGTTTTCTTGTTACACTGGTCAGCTGACATAGCTTTATGTTATTAAAATTTAAAACGTATTAAAATTACTTATTTTTCAGAACTGCTTATATTACTGGGGATTTGCTGCTTGGCTGGCTTATTACATCAATCATCCTCTCTATACACCTCCTTGTAAGTAGTAAAATGGCCCTCAGAATTGTTGTAAAGCTCCCTTACTGGATGTACATTAGTGCTAACTATGTGCTTTTTCAATTTTTTTTTATAGCCTATGGACAAAAACAGATAAATATTGCTGTGATCATGTTTCTGGTAGGTTAGTTACTTTACTTATAAGACATGAACATTTCTTTACTTCTTAAAATTGTATAAATGGGAGAGAAGAGAATGGGATGGCCAAGCATTTACTACTGGAAAGCTCAGGACTTAGAACTAAGAGTAATATTTTTTTTTAGTTAGAACAGAGTTGCCAGTTTGGATTTGATCCTGGATACCAAGACCATTTTTAGTTCAGTTAAAGTTTCAGGATCATCTAGCTGATAGATGAAACCGTGAGTGCAGAGAATCATGTTGAACTACATACATCAACAGGATCCTAGCCCCATCAGTGGCTAGTATTGTCAGGGGCAGACCCAGAGGGTATGCAGTGACACTGCTTATCCCCCTTTCAGACTGGACCATGCTGCTGGAGACTCTGGGGACTTAAAAAAAAAAAAAAAAAAAAAAAACACGCCAACCAGGTAAAAGTCCCCACTCCTCCCATTCATTCCAAAGCAAGTGAGAATCCCCCTTATCTTCAGTCATCAGAAGCACATCCTCTTCCCCCCTCTTGCCTATCCTCTGCCTGCTGTGGCTGCTTTCCCTGCTGTCCTGAGGGTGGGGAAATCTTCAGAGCTGCTCCTGCCTGCTCCAGCTGGGCTGTGCAGGGGCTGGGCTCGCTAAGGCAGGAGCAGTGGCAGTCTCTCCCCACTTTTCAATCCTTTTTTGATCCCTTTTTTCAATCCTATTTAGTTTATTCTGCTATAAGCCTACTGAAGTATTTTAAAGAATTCTCTATAAATTAACCCTGAGAAGTATACTAGGGGTAGTGTTAGAGTGACATCGTAGTTGTGATGGTACAGGAATTATGCAAGATGCAAGGATTTTTTGGGGGTGATATTTTTCATTGGACCAACTGCAGGGTTAGAATAAAGTTAGACAAGCTTTTGAATGCAAGACATTTGTCTTCAGGTGAACATCAAGAAAGCTTGTCTAACTATTTCAAGCCTGCAGTTTAGCCAATAAAAGATACAACCCCCCCCCCCCCCCACAAAAAAAAAAAAAAAAAAAAGTCCTTGCCTCAAGTATAGTAAAGAAAATGCTTCCATTTCACTTATTCCTATTCTTCTTGCAGCTGTGTGAGGCTGGGAATTTCTCTATCCATGTTGCACTCAGTGATCTCAGGAGAGATGGTAAAAGCTGCATTATTGTTCTCTACTTTTATGTAATTAAGTTAGCACTTCAGCAATGAAATGCACTAAGGTGTAGTGAGCCTTCCTTGAGGGACCCGTCCAGTTTAGTTGAAAGAGAGAATTCAGTATCTCATAGGACTGAACCCTAAGGAAACATGGACTATGCATGGAATGAAGAATCAGATCATTTATGCAGTACCTTACAGTAAATTTGCTTACCATATTTCATGGTGTATAGGTTGACGTGGTGTACAAGTCGATCCCATTTTTCTGATCCGCAAAGTTAGGAATTTCATAGATCCAGTGTATAAGGTGTCCTAACTTTTTTGATCAGAAATATGGGGTAAACCTATACCGGCCCCTGTGTGCCCTCACTGCAGGCCAGGCACCTAGGGAGTGGACATGTGCCACAGCACCACTCACAGGGGATGCGGATGGCTGGCATGGCCCCCTCCCCTGTGAGCAGCGCAGCTTGGGCCATGCCAGCTGAGTACCAAGCCTGGTTCTGTGTGCTGCTAGCGATGCTGCTGAGCACTGAGCCCAGCCCCGACCCTTATGATTGGCACTGGGCTCAGTGCTTGGCTGGCATAGCCAGACTTGGAGCTTGGCAGCATCACTCACAGCAGACGGGGCCAGGCTCAGCACTCAGCTGGCATGGCCCAGGCAGCACCACTCGCAGAGGATAGGGCTGCACCAGCTGAGCACTGAGCCCATCCCTGACTCCATCCCCATCTCCTGTGAGCAGTGCTGCGTGGGCTGTGCCAGCTGAATGCCAAGCCCATCCCTGTCTGCTGCGCGCAGTGCTGCTGAGTGCTGAGGCCGGCCATGCCAGCCAAGCACTGAGCCTGGCACTGCTCACAGGGGACAGGACTAGGCTTGGCACTTGGCAGCACCACTAGCAGCAGACAAGACCATGCTTAGTGCTTGGCTGGTGCGCCCCCATCCCCTGAGAGTGGTGCTGCCTGGGTCACACCAGCTAAATGCTGAGTCCAGTGCCACTCTCAGGGGACGATGATACTATGTACAAGTTGAGATTGAATTTTAAAGTTAAAAACCGGGCTTCAAAACTCTACTTGTACACCGTGAAATACTGTACTTAGGGCCAGATTGTACATTCAGGACATGGGCCCCTGTTAGTGGCACTGGAACAGGCCATAGTGCCTGATCCAAGTGGTGGTGTCATTAGCTGGACTAGGTGAGTATATGAGCCATTACCTAGCTTGGCTCCTAGACAAACTGTGTGTGCTTGGAGGTGAGAGTGGGAGGGTTGCCTTCTCTTTGTGCAAAGACTAGGTGCATTCTGGTCTTTAATAGCTACAACCTGCATCTGTAATTGTATGACAATCTCTCTAATAAGAACAGAAATACTGTTCATTTTTGAGGTCTGAGAGGTGGTGCACATACCTTTTTTGGGAGTAACCTAGGGCTGGCCAGTCAGCATTTCCAGTGATCTTTTCCAAGGATGTTGCTATCATGAATGGTAGCTACAAATACAGCAAAACATCTTATATGGGGTACCTGTAGACGTGCAGGACACCTGCTCTGACGTGCTGTAACTACTCAGTTGAATTAATCACCTGACTAATTAGCACTCTCCTCAAATAAGCTTTAAAGTGCTCCTGCTGCCATTTTGAAGCATGGGATGCTGAATACACAGGATGCTGGGGGTGCTTTAATTAGAGTGGCTTCCAAAAGACACTCTAATTAACCCCACTCCTCCCCTCCCCTCCATTTCCATCCCCACCCCTACTCCCAGAGCAAGTGTAAAGATGCCCATTATGCCCAAAGCATTCCTTCACAGGTATCCTAATCTCTCTGCTGGATTCAGAGGTCTCCATTTTTAGGAAAACCTGCCTTACCATCTGTCAGTTATGAGGCACTTTGATGGGTAAAGGTGGATTGTTTTTATAGCAAACTACAGCGTAAGTAGAGATGTTGGCATTTTTATATTTTGGGTTTTTTAATCTGTAGGATCCAAAATCCGTAAAATCCCATATCCAACAAAGAATCCTTTCACGTGGCTGTTTTTCTTTGTATCCTGCCCTAACTACACGTACGAGGTAAGTGTTCTTGAACAAAACGTTTTAAGTTCCTAATTTTGCAGGTTGCAGCTTCATTTGTATTGGGATATTTAATACTGATTTGGACTGAAAATCTCACTGGATATGGTTTTCCAGTCAGGTGTAATGAGACAGACTGTGTTCAAGGCAACTTTTCTAGTCCCTTCCTAAACTGTCCTGATCAGTCATGATTGGAGCTGCCAAATTGTATGCCTGTCTGAAAATGATCACCATACAATCATCACCTCCATGTAGATCTGACTAGGGGTTTCCAGTAACCACTAGCACCTGCCCCTGTTGCCACTCACCTAGCACCATCGGACTTGCTATTAAAGGATAACACCTACATGTGTCGTCTTTAAATGGGGGGGATGCATAGAGTGAGCATCAGGAAAAAAAAAGCCCAGAGTAGTTTCAGTGAAGTTCATTCATGTGCAAGGAAGCTGCATGAGGTCTTTACACCTCTTAATCTCTCATAATTTAAGACTTTAATGGGCTATAAGCAATGTGTAGACGTTACCTAGGTTCTCTCAAAAGGGTAAAATTCAGGCTGTCTTCAAACAGCATTGCACCACAGAGATCAGACTTATACAAAATCCTGGTGGGGATTCACTGGAGAAAATGAAAACAGTATTTGTACCCCTGGCTGTAGACTATAGCACTGACATAGGAACAGGAAATACAAAATAAATGGAAAAAAGGGTGAGAGGAAACTATAATGATGTTGAACAGTCTGAAATGTCACATACCCATTAACAACTGTTTAAAATATGGCTAGGTACAGACATTCAAAAAGCCTGAGATGGAATTGATCTGAGTTGCACAGTTTTCTGTAAGCAACATAGTTTAGATAGGTAGCAAACAGAATACACATTCGCCTTTGGTGGGGGTGGCAAATCTTAGACTGGGTTCTGCCATTTTTAAACCAGTTGGTGTGCGCCAAACTTCTGTTATGGGTATAGACCGGTTTCCAATCACTTATATACCAATAAAAGTGTAATGTCTATACCTGGCCGAAGAAGAAAGTTTTGTTTGAGGCTAACAGGCTGCCACGTACTTTTTGATATAGGTTCCAGACACAGATTCACTTGACTGTGGCTTCTTTGTGTACCTACCTTAGGACAGGATTTTTTCAATGAAAGGAGGTATACATGCAAATTCCATCACCAGAAATGTTTTTAATTTCCTTGGCCAAACAGGTGGGGACCTGGATCAGTTTCACTGTCATGACTCAGTGTGTCCCAGGTGAGTAACATGTTCATCTCAACTAGCTAATATGTCCTCAGTGCAGAAGAGTGTTGTTTTCCTGGCATTCACATGGTGTCTTTTTCTTTCTTCCTTATAGTGGCATTGTTTACTTTGCTTTGCTTTATTCAGATGACAATTTGGGCAAAAGATAAACACTGCACCTACCTACGAGAATTCAAGGATTATCCAAGTCTTCGAATGCCAATTATTCCTTTCTTATTATAAGAAGAAAGACTTATTTGAATGCTTGTGTGGAACTACAGGAAGAAAAAGCTAATGGGTTTCTTTTATGGACAAAACTGCTAGTAATTGGGAGAATTTGTTTAAATAACTAAGCTGAGATGGCTCTAGTGCATACTGGATCTCCATTGCTGTGGGAAATTCTAGACTGTTGAAACCCTCCTAATATGTCTAAATTCAGGGGCATTTTTGAAACCCAGATTAATTGCCATGACTGTTGCTTCATTGATGGTCATAGGTCCCTATGGCTCACTATAACCAAACTGGCCTAGAGATTTCCAGTCAGTAACAGCTGGGTCTTCCTCTACCAGTGATCTGAGGCAGCGAGAAGGCTTGCCGTGAGGAATTTCCAGCTTTGGGAGCAGCATTCCACCAGAGTGCCAATCAAGTTGCCTTTCCTGAGTCTCCCCAGCTGGAGTGAAATTGGTGCGGGGGCAAGTGCATCATAAGTTACAAAGGGAAAGATGTACTTGGAATAGAGAGGTGAGCACTACCACAGAGGACTGAGATGATTATTCTAATGTATGTGTTGTCTGGGCAATCTGAAAGCAAAAGTAATTTTGGGTATAACATCCCTTTTTTAGAAAGTTCCTTTACCAATAAATTGTTCATTGGCTAGTAGAGAAGATTTTGAAGATCTAATCTCTTCTGCAGCTATGCTATCTGACCTGTTTTCATAAAACAAGTCATTGTGATACCAAAGGATCTTTTATCTAGACATTTTGTGTTAGTGTTCTCTGAAGAGTTTTTAATATACTTTGTAAACAAATGCACTAACCTAACAGTCCTCAAAATGATAGTTCCATCAACATTTGCAAGCCAGGGAGGAGGACCCAGATACACTTTGAACTTCCTGTGTTTTGTTTTCCACAAGGTGCTCAGTGTGACCTGGGAAAGTTTTGTACAAAACTACTCAAGAAACTGTTGCAATCGTGTCTTACTGACATTTTAAAGAAACTATTTTAGAACATATCTATGAATAGAAGACATATATACTGTTTTGTTTCATGACTATTTATTTATCTATAAAAGATGTATAGAAGGATTTTTTGCAGCTATTTGTAATAATGACATATGCAATAAATCAAACCTACATTTTGAATCCCATCAAAAATAATTATGGCAACAAAAGATTGCATGTGGTTGCTGACATTTTGTATAGTACAAAGCAAAATAGCCTAGTCTCGTGTCAAATAAAAAAGCTATATCAGGGGAGGAGAGGATGGGGGGAATGGAACTGATGAACAAAAATACACAACAGCCTTCATTTTTGCATAACAAATTCTTTCAGTGAGAAAGTGGCTGAGGGACATGCTCTGGTAAGTAACCAAAGCAATAAATCAGTGTGAACCTGCTTGTCTCACTAATCTAAACTGTGAACCAGGAAAGGATCTAGATGCAAAATTAGTGTTTTTGCAGAGGGAAAATTTCATCCTGATTTATGATAGGGATGTCTTCCCAGACCTCTTTGTGAAATGGAGAATGTCAGTATGGCCTGGGTCAGGCTGGAGCATAAATACCAAGCATTATGTTGACTCTTTTAAAATACCTGTTTCAGCATTTTTGCCTCAGCACATGAAACCAGAAAGTGAAGGGGCATGTGGTCATATTCATTAAAACATATATCAAACTTTTTCAAATGTCAAAAAGGTTCTGCTTGGCTGTGAGCTTTGAGTTGGTTCTCCCTGAGGACAGTGGTGCAATCATACCCCCTCCTTTGCCTCTGGTTTACTGCTGAGAGCTCTGGTCTCAGCTACTGGACCCATGCTCAGTTTGCTCATTGCTACTGCCACACACCCCTTTTAGTGGTCCTCGATCCAATACTGGTTCCCCTGCCCCCTCATTTCTGCTGAAAAATGTCCTCTGTTTGCATCTGGAACTCTAATACAATGGCCTGACATTTCAACAAGGCAGCCTCTGAGCAGCTATATGGTCTGTTAGCAACTATGTTCTGACCCAGTCTAGATTTTCCTATTTCTGAGCTGGGCAGTGCTCTCTGCCTTTGGCTCTGCACCCAGTGCTACTAGTAGCAGTTAAAAATACCAGGGTACAGAAACTGTACTCTTAATAGCTTTGTGTGCGCTCAGAAGGAGGAAAGAGTCCTTTCCTTTTGCACCAAAAATGATTTTTATTTTACAGAAGCATTTTATAAACCAAACACCTTGACTCCTTTCACATTTTCGATGTGTATCTCATGCGTTTCTCATGTCAGAGCAGTAGAAGCTTCCTGTGCCTGCTAAAGTTACACATTTCTCAGCAAGACTTTATCTGAATACTGTGCCCAGGAGTGGTTTCTTCACTGTCCATACTGCCACAATATGGCACTTCCCTGAGCTATTTATGCTCCTGGTATTAGTAGCTGCACTATGCAGATGTCTGTGCAGGAGAATCTGGGTACACCTTCACTTCTCTCCTGGCTCCAGCTGCACGAGGGTGTAAAGGAATTGTCTCGTCTTCCATCTGTTGCTTAGCAAAGTTCACAAATACCTGTATAAGGAAAAGACAGATAAAGCACCAGACCCTACCAAGACCAGACAGTCCAACTACTTTGGCAAATTGCATCATACCAGCTTCTCTGTAGGGAACAGGTGCAGAAGGAAAGCCACAGGGATGTGCAGAAGTGAGACCCTGTCTGCCAGCGCAGCTCACACATTTTTCATTATTCGATATCAATATGGATAAGTGCTGTATGGAAGCCAAATTGGTCTCTCAACTTCAGCAGATATAGGGCTCTGTCAAGGCTCACACAGTGTGAGATCAACTCCTTGCTTACTCAGTAGTTTGAGGAGATAAATGGTGGTCCTGAAGTCCTTATGCACATGCCAGGAGGAAATGTAGCACTTCCACAGGTGTATGCACCCACCCATGGGAGGGGGAGAGGCAGGGGGAAGGAAGGGGAGTGGGGCTGTTAACAGCCCTGAGAAAGATATTGTCTGGACAGACTCAGAGCCACTGCAAAAGCATGGAGATGGCCATGATACTATTCAGTGACAGTGTAAGCACAATGCTGCCAGTTTGGGTACCTAGTACATGCAAAGCAGGTGTGGCACGTCTCACCATGACTGATGCCCAATAGGCAAACCTGCCCACAACACTGGCCAACTTTGCAGGGTTTTTAATTACTGCTTCTGTACAGAAATCTATGCCTTTTGAGGAAGACAAATATATAATCACTGGATTGAGTACTACAGCAGCTCTGTGCACAAGGCAATTAAAACTCTTCATTAAAGCAAATCTGATGGAAGTGACCTGGTTATTCTGCAGGTCTCATTCTGAAGGACAGAGCACAGCATGAATAGTGCTCAGTAATTCTCCTAAACTGAGGATTCAGGCATGATCCTGGTGACCAGGTTGTGAGAGTTCCTGTGCCTGGGATAAGATGTCATTACAGCTTTCAAACAGCAGCAGTTTACACAGCATAAAACATCTACACAACTCCTGTCTTATCCTGCTTTCCTACTGGAGACCATTGAAAAAAGTGTGCAAGAGAAAGCCTTTTAAAGGTTAATTTTAATGTTTATTCAAGGCAGTTAGATATAAATTATTCTGAGTTCTGCTACATCCCTATTGCATTTCCTGTCTCTTATTAATCAGATGAGTCTCAGGATGAGTTTACTATTTCTTACTTACTTGATCTAAAGTTGTTTGAGAAACAGAATATTCTTCAATACTCAGGCTTTCCTTGTTGGAGATAAGTAACCGAAAGATCTTGGCCAGCGAGGAGGAGCATATCTGGTACTGCAGCATGCTGTAGTGTTTCTCTCTCTGTAAACTCCCAGGGAAGTTTGCATGTATGAATTGTTCAGCTGAGGTAGGATCTGGAGGCATCCCAGGCTTTGGGGCTTTGATTTTCAATGTGACAATATAGCCATCTCCAAATCTGAGAAACACACATGGATTTGGTTGTTTTATAAAGACTATAAAGACTGAGTTTGCTTTTCAATAAGGGAAAATTTATCTTTAGCAGTTACACATGTACTCAGGAGTATTTAAAATGAACACATACAACTAACTCTATCAAGCAGCGGTAGTAAGCTTTTGACACCAAGTATGCTGTAACAAAGTAGTCTGTAATATCTTGAGTGAAATGAAGACTAGGGGGCCTAACTTAATGATTTTATGTATTAAAGAGTTACTTTCACAAGGTGGGCAGTGAATTATTTTAAGGGACACAAGTCTAATTCAGTCCCGTCTTACCTAATGGTTGTACAAGTAGGGATTGTTGCAAACCATCTACTGCACATAGTATACAAGACTGAGATGTGCCCTCATAAGAAGACCAGACACATCTTTAACAACCTGGGAGAAAAACAAAACAACTTACTTGTATTTTAGATGTTGAATTGTGCCCAAGCATTTGAAGGTCCCCTTCACCATTATGGCTAGACGAGTACAGAGAGCTTCACATTCTTCCATGCTGGTAAAACAGAATAACAGAGTATCAAAATTAAAGCAGAGTCAGACTGTAAGAGTCCTTGGCCTCAGTACTGATTATAAGAAAGGAGGTTTATGTTACCTGTGTGACGTCAGAACTACAGCTCGCCCTTCTTTGATCACACTGACAATGGAGTTCCATAGGAGGCGTCGGGACTGAGGATCCATTCCTGTAGTTGGTTCATCCTGAAAAGACGCATTAATCTTTATTATAGTCATGACAGGGTTAAAGCATCAGGCCAGGGCATTAATTTTAGATTTCGTAAACAATGGACTTATTTTTTACTTTTGGAAAGCAAGGGCAACACATGAACAGAATTGGGAATGCAATGAACTCTGCATGAGGTATGGCTATTGGAAAGCAATTTAATGCAGTGCACACCATGAGATAGAAGCAATGCAAAAGCAGCTGGTTTAGGGTTTTACCTGTTGATTTCATAAGTATTTGTAATAGTTGCCTTCCCTCCAACTAACAGACTGTTGGAATGCCCAGGCACATTCAGCACTTATGGAGTCCCTGGGAATAACAAGGTTTAATCGGAAGCCAAATTCAGATTCCAAACACTGTGAAGCTTGTGCGTAATAAGCACACAGACCCTGCCATTTATATTTTAACATCTTTGGCTGCTGTTAATTGGCACTGACTTCATTTGGGCTGCACCAGTAGAGGAGCCAGCTTTAATAAAGCGGTTAGCCCAGCCGGTGGCAAAAAGTAACGAGTTGTGGCAAAGAATTTTTACATTAATCTTTTACATTTATTCTGAGATGTGAAAAAAACATTCAACACTTTGCTTTACAAGGCACACATGGAACACAAAGAACCAGTAAGGGGCAAAAACAAACATGCAATTAGAAAGCTGTTAGTGCTCTCTTTGATCAGGAAAACTGCAGTGATACCAGCTTATCTAATGGCAAGCGCTATGCAGTAATTGAATTGAGAGTTAAATTCTTGCTGGCACTTGCAACCTGTGTTCCTCTTGAGACCAGAATTCATGACATGGTAATTTAAGCAATAGCTACAAAGTTTTATTTCAGAATCACTACAAGGTGGGGAAGAGCAGAGGTCTAGTTCTATTTCCCTATATGTGTCTAAATGACAGTTTTCTAGCCATGTGGTGGCATTTTTTGGCACTTACACACAGGTAGTGATTTCAATTCCCCTGAAGTGAAGACGCATTAGCGTGTGCATATAGGCTGAGCAAGACTGTGCGACATGGCTATGTTTCAATTCGGTTTTGGATTTGGCCATTTCGGAGGGACGGTGGTGTGTTTCGGATCACTGTTCCATTTCAATTCAGTCGAATTTGTTTTGGAGTTTTGATGCTGTTTTGGTGATTCATCCATAGGCTATAATGGGGAGTCACTAAAATACCTATAACTTTGTCATTTTGTGCCTGATTTTGATTAAACTTGCAGAGATGGTAGCCTCTTCCACAGGCATAAAGCCTGCAAAACTTCAAGGAGATAGGTGCAGGGGTTTTTGTAAAACTATACCTCAAACTGTTCAAAGCAAAACCCATGTCACGTGTGTGTTAAGG